TAGTCCTTATGCAACTCAAATTACAGAAAACTAATCTGGAATTAAACAAACCTGCACCAGATGTTCTTGGTATAGAACGCGAACTATCTGTAGGGGCATCGGGAATTGGTTCTGCCTAGGGGCGGCCCGTCCATAAAGCAGGTAAAGCAACTGCTGTAGGCTCCACATTTGTGGAGGCCCCATTTTTTTTACGCTTATATATATATATATATATATTTTTTAAAAAGTTATGTGAAGTGAAAAAGTTTGATTTCTTTATTTAACAAATAAAGAGATGAAGGATTTACAACTGCTTTAATTTCTGCCAAGGAAATTGCATTTGAAATTAATATCGAACCCGAATTTCATAAGAAACGTGTAATATATAGGAAAAAACAATTTGAGGAGAATGTTAATAGTGAAATCTCAAAATCTTCCGAAGTGTCCTTTAGAGTTGATTACTTTTTATACATATTCCCTCTGGTCCATAATAAATGACTTTTTAACCTTTGATGCGCCCCTTAAGAAAATACTTACTCCTAGAACAAAAATGTATTTTGACTGAATTATACTTAGTTAAAATTTATATGTTGTTAACTTGACACATTGAGATATGTAAATAAGGGTAAATTTTAAAAAATAAAGTTAATTCCTTCTCGATTATATAAAAGGACACTTATTTTGAACCAAAATAAAAGCCAAAAAAATCACTTATTATGGACCGGAGAGAGTAGTAGACAAGGTTATTTTTTCACTTTAAAATAGATTTGAACAATTAGAGGCATATGAAAATATTTTTGGTTTTATATTTGGCGGTAAAAACTGAGATCACTAGTTGATGGAAATTTGAAAAAATGCTGCCTTCATCTTGAATGCTCCTTAAATCATAATAATCAACCCGATATTAATAGTTTAGATTTATTTTCTTAATAAAAAATATTAAGGAAAATAGAACAATTAGAAGATAAAAATTTAATTGATATACTCAATCAAATAAAAAGGTTTGATTGTTTTTCAAATGTATATATTACTTATAGAATAATGTTAATAACTCCTATTACCGTTGCTTCAGCGAAAAAAAGTGTTTCAAAATTAAATTGATAAAACCTTACCTAAAGTCAACAATGTCTCAAAGATATTAAATGAATTAGTTATATTGTCAATTGAGAAAGACTTATTAGGAGAAATTGATTATAAAAAAATAATAATAACTTTGCATCTAAAAAAAAGTTAGAAAAATAGAATTCAAATAAAAATAAAATATTTTTTATTAATAAAAAAGTTAAGGCCCCTCGTAAAGTTTGGCTTTAGGCCACGAAATTGGTCGGGCCACACATGGTTCTGCCATTGCAGGAAAATTACTAGGTGCCACATTCTGTGCAGCCTGAAAATCAAGAATATTTTATTCAAGTTACAATTATCTAACATGGAAATAACTTAGAAATATTAAAAATATTGCCTTCAAATCACAATTAGAAAACTTACCAACATTGTATTCAATCTCAATCATCTAAGTGGAAATATGAAAAAACTTAAGAAATTCTCGCGCAGGTAATACCGTTGCAGAGGATTCTTGTGGCAGCGGGATGTGCTCAGGCCATGGAACTTCAGTGTTGAGTATCTCATAGGTTTTACGTTAAAGATTCATCATTAATAGCTGAAACAATATCCTCACAATATTAGTATTAATCATGATTCTATAGTCTATCAAATTGTGAGAACGTGACAAACAAATTGTTACTAAGGAAGCAATTAAGTCGTGCATATATATATATATATATATATATATATATATATTTCTAAAACAATGATGACTAAACTTTTCAAGAACGTGTGCAGAAATTAAAGAAAATGGCCTCATTTCATTTATCAGGAACAACATGATCATCAAGCCATGTACATTTCATATGTAACCAAATTGAGCAAAAATATTACTACCAAGAAACTTCAAGAAACAACAGTCCCCATTAAAGAATTATCCATAGTAATACTACTAAACATTTATCAAAAAAGGAAGACTAACTAATATTGTTTAGTGGTATAACATTAGCTTCAGTGGCAATATGTGTTATTCCCGGTCAATATTGCTGTATTTGTAAATATTAATTCTGCAAAGTATAAGTTAACGTAATGAAACAATAATAATAAATTCGAGCCCACTGAATTCACAGTGTTTCCTTAAGGAATTTAATCCCCTCCTAGTACCCAAGGTAATGGATTATTTCCTCCCAGGATAGAACGAATAACACACTGGTGTAGCGGTACTTCAAACCCCAGTGTTTCGGCGAACACAAAGTTCGGTAGCAAATCACACTTACAGTTGCTTTGTTTGAAGTTAAAAAACAATGCAGAACGAAGGAGTATATACTCAGAAAAACGTATGGAAGTTCTGAGAGGAAGGAATGCAATGTATAGCCAATTTGTTGAGCGAATTGTATGTTGAGTTGAGTATCTTTCTTCAACATTTGCTGCTCATATATATAGCAGCCAAGAAGGAGTGCAAGACCAAACGTCCACCCTTCATGGTGGATCAAGCATTACATATTTGTGGAGCAAGCACTTCATGTTTGTGGAGCAAGCACTTCATGGTGGGAAGACCATTATCCGGCTGCCAAATTATCAATACACGGATTGGAAAATATCCGTTTACAAATACGGATAATCTTACGTTAATATTTACTATTAACAAATAAATTTGGTCCAAAAAATTAATCAATCAATCGATCATTTGACCAAATCCAAATCCAAATCCGAAGCCGAAGCCGAAGCCGAAGCCGAAGCCGAAGCCGTAGCCGTAGCCGAAGCCGAGCCGAGCGAGCGACGACGACGACGGCGCGAGGCTTGCTTTCTTCTTAACTCTTTAAGAGCTACAAGAAGAGCAATTATATATATACCCACCAAAAATGTCTTCCACTTCCAATATGGGACAATGTCTCATTGTTAAGAGGGGGAAACTTAAAATTTTACTCAAAATTTCATTTTTCCTCCATTTCCCATTCACCCTCATTTTAAGAATATTACATCTTAAAAATAAAACCTCAACAATATGTACTAGCTGTATCACGCATTCCCTTCTTAACCATGTAATCATGAATGTAAAGATCAAGTCTGAAAACCAAGAAAATAGAGTCACTGCGCAGAGCAAGAATTGCAGAAATCCCAAATGAAGAGGGAATAAAAGAGTTAATGTAGAAAATACGTATCAACTCACAGTCTTTGTTTTTCTTCGTCGCCCATGATCAGCAAACAAAAGAAAAGCAAGGAATGTTTTGAGCAATGACAATGGAAAAAATGGCGAGGATTTAGATTAAAGAATGAAAAATGCAGAAAATTGAGAGAGTTAAATTGAAGGGGTTATGTTAGTTTGTATAGAGAAGGAAGTTAACGGTCGAGCTATGCAAAAACCCAACGGAAGATAACTGACAAACGAACTAAATTTGGCGCTAACAAAGGTAATTTGAAAAATAAATTGGAAAGAGAGAGAAGATAATTACATATAAATTATCTTGATAAGCAGAAGCGGATCTAGGAATTTAAGAAGATGGGTGAACTATTACAAAGAGGTGAATTCAGAATTTTTATTTGACGGGTTCTATCTTTAGGTTCTTATCATGAATGCATTACCATTTAGAATTATAGGTTAAAAATTAAATTTTTCCCTGCAATTTTAATGATTTAACATACATACCTATACTTCATATAGAAAATGCTGAGAATATTAAATATGTTGACTATATTCTACATCCTCCACTGCTATTAGTTTTAATTATATAAAATTTTGTGATAACAAAGGGAACAAGGATTTAATGTGTTGGATTTGGGGATTTTGAATGAATAAATCAAATATAAAAAAAGAAAAATATACTTAATTAAAACACAAGAGGGAATACTAAATCTGCCTACAAATGTGAAATTTGAACCTCTAACTTTATTTGTAAAGGTGCACCCAATAATCATTGCACCACAAAACTCTTTGAGCTTGAGCGCACACAAATATATTTAAGATAATTTTTAAAGAATATCGCATTGTTACACATGGTATAGGAAGAGGAGCATGTGTTCACGTGCACCATGCGCCTTCACATAGATATGCCATGTTGATAAGTATTTAATAATCTATTAAAAATGGTAATTAACTTTGTTACTATCAAATATTAAAATTCATTATCTTTAAACTCTGAGTATAAATAACTTAACTCCCTCTTTTATCATCCCCCAATTAGTGGCGAGTTAGAAACTCTATTAGGAAAACTCAAAAAATACAAAAATATCACACCTAAGATTCACACACGTTATCTAGAACAATTTTTGAACCATCTTTTCCACTACAGTATATAATGCACGCTTTCTTATGTTAACGAGATTCAATCTTTACAAATAAGATTTTATGTTAATCAATTTGATTATATTTTTTATCTACTACTAACCGTGTAAATTTTCTTATATTGAGTAGAAGCCAAATACAAGGTAATCATTCAACCTGAAAATAAATTGGTAAGTAAATTGCAGCATTTTACTTACCAAATGTAATGTGATTTTAAATAAACGCATTTTTCATCAGTGTATTAGAGTTTCACTCGTAAAAGGTTAAAACTTATCACATTATGCTGAAGTTTCTCCTATAGGGAATTTTCCAAGGTGTGCTGAAATTTCAGTTGTAAAAGCTCCGAGAATTGAAAATTTTCTATGTTTTAGCTAGATATATTTTTGTCTAAATTTTATATTAGCGTTAAATAGTAACTAAATGATGAGTAATTTGAGATGGTGACTAATTTTTGATTAGCAATATAATTATAGCTATTTGCCCATGCACGTTTCTTGATGTTTAAGTTTAACAGGGGAGTCTTTTAGTATGTCACCTCATTAGCTGCAGACCAAATGAGTCCTTATCCCCAATATCAAGAATTTAGACACCAAAGTAGTACCAAGGGCTTTGAATTTTTTTTACTTTCTTCAGAAACAAGCTGGTGAAAGTTCTAGATATTGCTATGATATGAAATATTGTTTACAATGCTCAGATATATACAACAAAATTTCATCTAATATTTCATCTAAAGTTGTCAAGATTTAAATTTGATTGAATTCGACCTTTAAGGTTCTTAGCACTAATATTTATGTTCCACGTCGAAAATACTAAGTTCGAATGGACCTGTTCACAAGTGTTGCATCTACCCCTGCTTGACACTGCCCTTTTTGTTAACATCTATAACTTTCATCTAACATAGTTCCTAGCCCCAAAAATATGATATCCTTGCAACAGGGAAGGAAACAAAAGAATATGCCTAAGCAAAAAATTTAAGTTAGCATCCTAACTTCCTATAACTTTTCTATGACGCTTGGATTTCCTATTCCTCTCACGCTTTCTGGGATCAGTAACATAACTTGATGATGTAACATTGCGTGAGGTCTGTAGGGTTTCATCGACTACAGGCGGAGGAGGATGAACAATTTCAGTACCGCCAGGTGGAGGCGGGGGAGCCCAGTGCTCAAGAATGTCTCTATGATACCCCTGCAGATAACAAGAAAGTATAGCAGAAAGTTAATCTATCATATAACAGAAATAAAGCGTGGTTGAAATTGCATTGCGTAGTTCTTATTCAAGCATGCACAAAGTGAAATCGTTTTTTGTTTTTAAAGAAAGAGGAAAGTAAGAAAAGAGAATTTCAACGGTCATCTAAATAAGTAGCAACTCGAAATTGCATTTTTTTTTCCTGCGACCATAAGAATCTCCTATACATTGCAGAAATCGCCATTAGCTTATTATGAATCTTGTGTCATAATTCTCAAAAAAAGCTGGTACAAGGAGGCACGTGTCTTTTGCTTCTTTTTTTCCCCCAATTCACTTTACCGGAGTAAAATCAACTACAACAACAAACAAACACGTGGGGTCTGGGGAGTGGAATGTGTACGCAGACCTTACCCCTACCTTATGAAGGAAAGAGGTTGTTAGGTGGAGTAAAATCAACTGAAAATCCAAAAGCAAAGACATAAAGATCACCTGAACCACAAAGTTGCGCCTTTCACAGTCCAGGAACATATTAACAGTCCAATTTGTCTTTGACATGATCTTGTCCCTCACAATGGCGAAGCTTATTTGGTCTCTTGGAGTAAAACGGTCCACTTCATTAAACCAAAGACAAGCAAATAGATTGGAGATTGGATTGTGCTCTCTTACTATTACACATCCCTCCGGGACATCTGCGTGCAAAATAGTATGCTAAAATATTTATCAAAAAGACAATGACATTATTAAATTCGGGGGGGAGGTGGGGTGAATTGTACATAAATAGTAAGGAAAGATGAGAAAAATGACGTTCACATCCTTACCACTTGTAATAGGAAGTTTAGCTGTGGAATAAGGAGTTAGACCTTCCTTTTTATAGAATTCAACTTGGAAATCGATGGAAGCATTGTCAAACTTTGCAGCAGCCTTATTAGCTTCTGCTTCTACATACACATCAAAGCGCCTATAATGCCTTGATATCGCAAAGCTCGCATTTTTTCTCCACAAGAACCTGAAATTGAAATTAAAATTAAAAAAAATTCAGCTAAGCAATTGTAAAGAACAATAAAAGCCCTGCATCACTAGTCCAACATTCAACATTTGCAGTCTTTTATAACCTTTTATCAGAAGGGCAATCCCCTTACTCTTAACCTAAGTCACGCAACAAGAGCAATTTTCATGTAAACTTATTCATCTTTTTTGAACAAAAAAAATGATGTATGACTTGTTCATCCTTGTAAGGTGTGAAAACAATGCAAAAGCATTGTTGAGTATGTCCAGAATGCTTTAGCAGAGATCATAACGCAATATGACCATATCTATCATTTCACAATGCTGACATGTAGCAGAAAGATCATTTTTGTTTTGATAAAAGCGATAGAAGAGCCCGTGCTGACAAATCTGAGAGGTGACTAAACTTTTGGCAACAAACGTTTAACTTCCCAGAAACCCTTTTTACATTTCTATTAAAGGCTGATTAAGCTTGTGCAGGCTACTATGGTTAAGAGCTGCTAGAACCAAAATGTTTTTACGCTTATTATAGTTGATTTTAGCTAGGACAGTCTAGGCGAATCTCTGTCCAGTGATAAATCAGGGGGAATTATGCCTATACATTTTTGAAAGTCATACGGGTGGTTGCTAATGCGGAAGCTCTACAGAAACCCTTACTATCATTAGTCAAGAGACAGAATTCAACCCAGAGGAAGCAACATTGTGGTTAAGTATGAGTTTTGCTTTGAATATATGAAATGTGTATTTAGTCCTAGGCATACCTTTCAAGTATTTGATATGGATCGACAACCAGCTCAAGTTTTGCATCTATCCATAGAGAATAACGGGCATTAGGAAAAAGCCTGTGAAGCAGAAGCTTTGGAACCTGAAATGTCAACAAATACAAACTAATCAGTTAAGTTTACATATGATACCAATTTAGGTAGGTGAAGCACTCAGCTAACCCATGCCAATGAATGGTTTTCAAGTACTCAAAAGCTTTTCTTTCCCATCAGATAATAATTTCATGAACATATACACAGTGCAGAAGAATACTGAGTGAACAAAAACGTTAAATGGGATAGGGAAACAACAAAAACTGCCAAACAAAAGGAAGTAGAAAATAATATAGCCTTGTCGCACCCAAAGATGAGGGTTGATGGTCAATGAAGTGGGTAAAAAGCCATGGGAGACTAGGGCTTAAAACCCAACAGAAACAAAACACGCTAGGTGGGTTCTTCCTATCTGCCTATCCTTGATGGCACTGGCAGAACAGAGTTACCCCGTACTTGTGCTGCAGGAGGCAGCAGGCACCCTGTGGAATAGTCGAGGTGTGCGCAAGCTACGCCAGACACCACCGTTATCAAAAAAGAAAAATGATATAGCCTTGTCACTTCAATCCAGGTAGAAAATGCAAAGCTGCCCTACTAAAAGGCAATAATGCAGATGAAAATAGAAGAGAGAAGTTTGAGTGAGAAGATTTCACATAAAGTCCTTATAGCAATCCTGAGATCAGTATCAAGCTCAATTACTAATCTAGTTCACTAAAAATCTTCGTGATCATGCTGTACTTCCATCAAAGGGTCATTTTCATAATGCCACTGTAAGTGAAACAATTTTTTTTTTAAAGGTTCTCTATTCTTGAAAATTCAAGGAAGCAATGGATAAGAGAATACAAGTACTGGATATCGAGTGCTCGACAAGAACTGTGAAAAAGAAAGACTAGTCTGGATTTAAATTGCTACAGGAACTAAATCACATAAAGCATCACCTACTCTTTTCCAAAAAGGTAATAAGTAACAGGGAAGATCCTAAGTTAACAAGTAACCATATTTGACATTACATAAAGTATCATAGCCAAAAGCGAAAGGCTATTCATGTCTCAAAATTGCCTTCTGCAACAAGAATATCAGTAAAGAAATACATGAAACTTGACCATTGTGCGGATCTCATTAAAAAACCATTGTGTACTGCATTTTATACTAGCTCATAAGGCAGCCAAAAAAAGAGAGGAAAAAAACGACTGTAGACCAGGATATTTCAAGAAATAGCCAGCCTAGGGCTTCTTCAGGCTGTATAATTCAACATTTGAAAGGAAAAGCTTAAATCCACGTGTAGATGGATATTGAGAAAGGTATCCGAACTTCAAAGATGAATAGAAAAAATAATTGTGTACACAAAGCAGACAAAAGGATAAGGAGGTAGAAGAGATGCACTTGTAAGAATCTTAAGGAACAGAATTTGCCAATCATATAAATCTTAACTGCTATTACTAACAGAGCCAGAGGCTTTTCATTAACTAACTGGTTGCAGTGCTGCCAACTAGATCTTAACTGCTATTCCTCAAAGGTTGTGTCAATATAAATTGTAGCTCTGCAGCGAATGGGTTCAGCAACCATGAATGTAATCTAAGTACATTAAACTATCTATTAAGTGCACTGTTTTTCAGTTCACTTCCAAATATCACTTGCGTAAACAGACATTATGATCATATATGCTGATTGAAAAGTAGTCCTGACAAATAAGGCTTAGTAAATGATTGCATAGATGCCAATAATTTGAAAATTCTGGGATTACCTTTGTGGGGAGAGGGGAGATGGTTTAGGGGAGACAAAAAAGGAAGAAAATTCCTTTACATTACTATTCTCCTGTCCACTCAACAAAATTCTTTTCAAAGGTTTCAATGCAGTCACATTTTCAAAAGCGTGATAAGCACTCTAATAAATACCCATACCCAACTAATAATGCTTACAAATTTCAACTGCTATTCAAACATAGGCAATGTATCATTGAGAAAACCAACCTTCCCATTTCGCCTCGGATCATCATAAGGTAGGTTATGAACACTGACAATTCTCCATAAACCAATTCTCATGGTACCATCTAGCTCACTAGAATTTCTTAAGAAAACTTCTGTTTCTTCATCCACGAACATACAAAAGCATGCATTTTTCTTTGCATATTCGCTGATATTTTTTGGTTGCCTTATCAAATCAAAAGCGCCTGTCCAAGAATGTACTTGTTACAACTCATAGCCAGCAGATCCAACAAGAAATAAGACAGAGGGCGTGTACTGAAAGATCAATCCAACAAGAAATAAGACAGAGGGCGTGTACGGAAAGATCAATACCAAATATTGCTGATGCCACAACAACACCTCGACAAGATTCCATTTCAAGAAGGTCAGAATCATCAATGTCAAAACCTGTCTGATGTCCGGGCCTGATGCCTCTAATAAATCTATCACATGGATTTGAAGCAAAAATAAACACAAACAACACAAAGTAAGAGATATTGAAAATCGTGCAATAATGTACAACAATAATGAAGCTTTATATTATAAAAGAATTGCCCAGGAGGGCTCTGAAATATCATACCCACAGTGCACACTCATGGACTCTCTTAAATCATATGAATCATTCCTTTGCATCAGTGAAGGATATCCTCCAAATTCTGAACCTCCAAACTCGGTTTTTCTTAAATTTTCTTCACGAATGTAAGTCAAATTGCTAATCCCAGGAGAAAAGGATGGTGCACCCGGCATTAATGCAATAGCTTGTTCAACAGGAAGGTAGCATACTGGACATGCTGAAAGAGTAAAAAGAATGTAAACATCCAGTTCAGAATCTGCAACTTACATTTTTTTCACCTGGACGGTCCATCCGAGACAAATTTATATATTTAAAATCTTATTATTGGTAAATATATGAAAACTTAAACTTACGCCTTGGTCCCGTCCTCTTTTTATCTGCTGGCGGCGGTGGCAACGTGAAGCCTTCACATGGATTCCCAGGAGGAAGAGTGTATCCTTTGAAGTATACAGTAGGAGGCGGAGGAGGAAGAGGTTGGACAATTGATGCACTTTGTCCAACATTAGTTTGTTCTATTGACTCAATATACGTAGAATTATCCTTTTGTCCAGCTTCTGGAGTAAACACACTATTAGTTATGGAGGCATTAAGTTCTTGTGCATCTTCACCTATGAAAGAGTTGAAAATTGCAGAGGTTGACAGAAAACAAAAAACAAAAATAAAGGAAGGCGCTGTCATCTAGAATCACCCACATATGGAACAGCCAAATCAAATCATTTATTCAGCCGACATATAAGAAGATTCAAAATGTTAGTTGAGAATCTTCAGTGTAAACGAGACATAATCACGAAATCTCCTAATGAAGAAAAGTTAAAAAAAGATACAAAACTAAACACCATCAAGCGAAGGTAACCATTTCAGCCTTTAGCAAGCCCAAAGCTATAATTATCAGATGACTGACAACATAAGAGCATCTCATGTTTAAAATTGCAAAACGATTGTGGTAACAGTAATAATAAAGCTATATAAGATTGTTAATTTCGTAGTATTATAATCAAATATGCTATTTCCCAGAGTGTTAGAACGACAAACTGTAGCTACCAATCAGCACAAATCAAAACAGAATCACGTGGTACGCATTTAAAGTTAAATTTATGCTCCATTAAGTTGAAAGCTTAAGGTTGGAGTTTAAGTCCTAATCAAATAATCGATCTATCAACTAGGATCTCAATAACCAAAACTAGTTGGCTTCGGCTAATGTAAAATTCAAAAAGCTGCAACGGCAAAAGATTAGAGACCAAACCTTTGTCAACAAACAAGACCCAGACAAGAACTGCTAATGAAACAGCACACAACAGCAGCATCCCAACCTTCTTTCTAGGCGCGAATTTGTGGATCCAGGGCAACAATCCTTCTTTCTCCTTATACATTTTAGTTGGCTTTCAAGGTATAGTTTGGAATGTAGCAGAATTGTTCTGAGGTAGCTGTTGCTGCAAAGAACCATACCCAATGACCAATATTGCTAGCCTTCTACTCATTCACATGCAACTTGTCATCTTCTAAAGTTCAAATCTTGGTACAAAATTCACCACCTAATGTGGATTACTTCACCAAAATTCCCCCACTCAGGTGAAAAAAGCACTAAATTCACCAAGAAAAAACGATACCCAACTCAACCAGTTATTCCAATTTTTATTTTCCTAAAGTTCAAATCTTGGTACAAAATTCACTTCCTAAATGTGGATTACTTCAACAAAATCCCCCACTCAGGCGAGAAAAGCACTAAGAAACACGACACCCAACTCACCAAATGATCTCAGAATAAAAAATAAACCAGAAAATCCAACTGTTATCTTTCTGAAGTTCAATTTTTTGCGCTAAATTCAACCAGAAAAAGAGACCCAATTCACCAAATTATCTCCAGAATAAAAACCAATCATCTCTTTAAAAGAAAACAATTCAATCCTAAGAATCAAAACTGAAAAACCATAAGCTGGTTTTAGAATATAAAAAGTACCATTCCAATAGAAACAAAAGATACAAAATTAAAAAAGGAGTAGAATAAACGTTACTGAAATTGAGATGGGGGTGGAAATTAATTCCTAGGGTTTTGTGGAAACCTATCAAATCTCAGATCACCGTTCAAGGTAATTATTAGTTTAGGAATTTAATTTTCCACTTTCATGGTTAGATATATTTGTATAATTTATTAATTTCTTCGTAGAGTTCTGTGTATAGAAATAAATTAATAACACATTGTACACAAAATAGGGTCAAATTAATAACACATTTCCTCCACAAAATAGATAGTGTATACTTTATTGAATGCACCACGTATGTGCCCCGGGGCGGTGCACCGTCAAAACACCATGAGATTAACACGTGGGACTTAGTTGCTTACGCTTCAAGTGCGTGATTGCACGTCCTAAACACTCCTAGCATCCAACGTTCGGGCCTCGCCCAATAGTTAATACTCAAATTATGTGTCAAATTTTCTAACTAGCACTACTAAATGTCAAAATTCTTTAACAACTGAATGATTGAGGTTTTATTATCTATAGGAATATGAAGATTGAGAGTAACTCAAATAACGAGTCATAATATAGCATATTTACTAATTGAGAACTACGTGAGGTGAATATAATTTGAACATTCTTCTAAAATAGATATATAATATGCGGCGCACGAAAGCAGCCCCCCAAACAATTAATGCCCCAAAATTAATTATATATATAATATAAATAATTATATATTTGTTATTAGTGAAAAATAAATTTTTTCAATCGTACTTTTTTCATTTTTTTATCAACCACTACTTCTATATTTTTAAAGTTTAACTATGTACTATTTTAAAATATATAATGTAGTTACTGTTGAAAATAGTAGGTAATTAAATTTGTAGCTACTTCCTATCTTAATTTTGTCTAATACATTTGAACTTGAATCATTTTTGTTTATAACTTCGGTATTGTAAGATTTTTACAATTCTTTAAAAAGACTATTTTCAAGCTCAAGCTAACTAGATTATAAAACTATTAGATTAATAAAAATATATTGTCATATAGCATGTTTCCTCCTAATAGTTTGGTAAAAAACTGCAACTCCTTAAAAAGATACTTTTGGGGATAGGGTGGGGAGCATTTTTACCCTCGGAGAACCTTGGTCAAACAAGCTATTAACCTTGAATATCTTTTAAAGTATAATGATCTACGAAATCGATGGTTTTACCAATTTTTAGAATTAAAAGTGGTATGAAAATTATACAAGTAAAAGATGATACTCTAATTTGCATATGTGAAGTCTTATTTATATTATTAAAAATGTTTCTATTGCTTTTAGAGTGGCTTTAATATTTTTCTAACAATTCCCTCAATCTAAAAAAAATTATAAATTAAAATCAAATAAGATCTAACTTAAAATCAACAATGTCTCATGAGATTTACATGTACAGACCATATTATTAAGTGAAAAAATTAATTATCCAAATATAATTAACTTCCTTGCATTTTAGGACGCTATAAGAATAAACATCAAATACAATATATATCAATTTTACTAAAAAGGTTTAGGGCCTCTTTTAAGTTTTGATGTTAAGCCACATATTAGATTGAAGAATAAACTTGCAATATTACTAAGAAAAATTAGGATACAGGGTTGAATTATTATATAAAAAAAGGTAAAATAAGTTACCCCTGAACTATCGACCAAATTCATGTTATACGTTTTTCGCGGACAAAACTTACCTTACACACTCAAGCTTTCTATAGTATAACTAAGGCCTCATTTGTTTTTTTTTTAAAGATTAAAGCGTCTTAATTTGAATACATGTCTAATGATGGTAGGCTAGAATCACGTATTTTAGTCATAGTTTGCGCTCTAATTACTGTATTTTACTTGTGTTTGAGCTTGAATGTTAGTGTATTGTACTTATTATATATTTTATGCCTTGCATAAAGTAATTTCGAGTTAAAAAGATATTCGGGAGCTAATTTGTACAAATTGAAGCTTTGAAATCTGAATAAAAACAAAAGAAATTAAGTCGGGATCACATTCGGGGGTCGGGGATCAAGTCTAGATGTCAAAAAGTGAGAAAACAAAAATTACTTTGGGAAAAATTACACTACCGCGTCGCGTCATGCGTAGCGGGGCGCTAGTGCAAATGTTACACCCTGTTCGTCCTAAGGTGACATATAATGAATATAAGACTTGTTAATCATGATTTAAATGATTTTAAAGTCATAATATGACTATATATGATATTTGGATAGAAAATATAAAGTTTGAGAAAAATCGGATTTAAGTTGCGGAAAAATCGACTAAGGATTTGCCTTGTAACAGAGCTTTTTGAGAAATTATTTCGTGTGTTATATAAGGTCTTGTTGGGACATATCATATACCAAATTGAAGGTCTTGGAATGTAATTTCCAATACTCTTAACTGTTCGTTCATACGACATTCGAATAAAAAGATATAAGCGTCAGAAGATGGGCGAATGAGAGGGTGCCAAGCTAACACCTCTTTGACTTTTCAAAAGTTGATATATATGTCTTAACTCGTCTCTCTCTCTCTCTCTCTCTCTCTCTCTCTCTCTCTCTCTCTCTATCTTCATTTTTACATATAACCCGACCAAAGAATACCATAAAATATATCCTTGATCTCTCTAATAGTGTTTCAAAGAATACTAACATCTCGGGTACGAAGCAATAACATCAGAACGATCCCTACGACGTAAGTATCGCTATATCGCCTCTCTTTTTCTTCGTAGTATGAGTTTTGGAATGTATTTAATAGTTAATAAAATGCCTAATTTTTATATTTAAGTTTTTAAATATCAAAGAAGGTTGATAAATTTATTTCCTAATATTTAAAACTCATGGGACGGTGATCAGAAGTCGTGAGTTTGATTTATTTCACTTTTAGTGGACTGTTTTGTAGTTCACTCGTGTTGGCCTATTGTGCTGCTGATTTATGGAGTTTGGAATGATAAAGGGCGTGGAGAAATGCCACATGTGATAGGGTAGTAGGCTGGTTGCTCGTTATTGCAATTTCAGGCTAATTGATAACTTATTGATTGGGTATGTTATGGTATATTTGGGGGTTTTGAAGGTCCCGAATTGTAGTTGGGTTGTTTTTGAGTTACTGATTGTATTGTGTTTGTATCTCTCCTATAGTAGGCTTGAGGGAGCAGTGAAATCAGAGAAAATGCTGCCCATTTTATTTTAGAATCGAGTTATCATTTGAGATACGTGATATACCACCGCCATCTAAGTTGTACACGTATTTCTTTGTTATAAGGTTGGCGCGCTAATTGTCATAAGCTTATTGATGAGTTGCATTGACGACTTGAGGTATGTTAAGACTATACCTTCTTTACTTTTGGCATGATCCATATGATACAAACTAAACGAGCAAGCACATAACTTTCATAAATGATTCTATTTTTAGAAGTACTAGGGTTGCCTATATTCTGGATTCCCCATATGTCCTGCTTTCATATTGTCTGTTCATGGGTATTATGACATTCCAAGAGATATTATTGACTTACTTCATTATGCATTACATCCATTTATACATGTATACCGACCCATGATCAGATGGCGTTATATACACGTATAGTATATGTATATGGGGTATGGGGAAAGGTTATGACGTTATATACGCACCACCACCTGATCAGCTGGTATACGTTGATAATTTCGCACACGGTGGCCAAGATGATATGATGGGATGCCCTCAGAGGCTTGATGATGTTATGTACGCATACACCTATGCATGTTATGACATTTATACGCACATGCATGACATTATAAATTTTTCATGATTCACAGTGATATTCATAATTTCAGGTTGAGTTCTTTACTCTATGTTTCTTTAATGTCTGTTATATACTAATTTTTATGCCTTACATACTTGGTACATTATTCGTACTAACGCCTATATTGCTCGGGGGCCTGCGTTTCATGTCGCAGGTGTAGGTAGACAGGTTGACGGTCCCCATCTTAGTATCCTTGCTCAGCGAGAGTTGATATGCTTTATTTGATCCGGAGCTGCTATTGAGTTTTGGTACGATACTTTTGTATGCGTATGGTTATGACGGGGCCTAGTCCAGTCCTCTATATAATTGTACACTCTGTTAGAGGTCTGTAGACAGTCATGTATAGTTGGATAGTATGTGGCCTTGTCGGNTTAGGCATGACTTACACTTATTTCATGTTTATATCTTAGACATATGCTTAGGGGTGTTCGATCGATAGAACTCGGGCACTCATCACATCCCCTCGGTATGGGTCGTGACAAAAGTGGTATCAGAAAAGTTCCATCCTAGGTTTGTCTACAGATCGTGTCTAGTAGAGTCTTATTTATGAGTGTGTTGTATACCACACTTATAAACATGAGGCTACAGGACATATAGGATGTTACCCTCCCTTCTTATCTTAGATCGTGCGATATAAGAATTCATTTTCCTAATGATATATTATGTTTTCAGCGATGCCCAAGAAGGCTACAGCCGCCCAGAAGGGCAAGTTCGTGGATGCTGATTCTACAAGTCGAGCGCCACGAGTTACCATGGCTCATAGAGAGACACATAGTGAGACTCTATCTCAGACTTCACATACCCTACCCTCTCCGAATGAGATCGAGGGGCACCAGCTCTAGCACCAGCCCCAGTACCCGCAGCTCCTCAGCCAAATACACCAGGTCAGGAGATCGATGCTATTCAGCTATTGACTCGATTAGTGACCGCACATGATCGGCGCCTGGAGGTAGGTATTGGTCATGCAGATAGGGCCATCAATGAGAGGGTTCATGATTTCATTAATTTGGACCCTCTGATATTCACTGGAGCAGATCCAAATGAGGACCCTTAGGTATTTATCGATAGGATGCAGAGGACTTTGAGGGTAATGAAGGCCACTGCAACCGAGTCAGTTGAGCTGGCTTCCTATAGACTTCGGGATATTGCAGTTAATTGGTACGAGTCTTGGGAGTTGTCTAGAGGTGAGGACGCCCTTCCAGTAGTATGGTAGAAGTTTACATAGGCTTTTCTTCGTCATTATTTGCTACAAGAGCTTAGACGGTCCAGATTGATAGGTTCTTGACCCTTCGACAGGGTAATATGAGTGTTCGGGAGTACATTATTTAGTTTGATTCTTTGGCTAGGTATGCTCCCACTATTGTAGCTAAGATGGAGGATCTGGTTCACCGGTTCGTGATGGGGTTGGAGCCG